TTCCAACTTTAATCGAATAACAAACAAAATTTGTGATTTTTTATACTAATCCTTAAATTATCAATTAAAACTAATGAAAGTAAGTAAATATATTTTTATTCAAATATGTGAAATGCATTGCTAAGATGTCGAATCCCCCTTGTTATTTCATTTTTAGTGTAACATTTAAAGTGACAATTTCAAATCATTTATGTTGATTAATGTTCCTAATTTAATTAAAAGTCTCTCTCGATAGCGATCAAATATATTCCCTTCATGTGACCATTCTATTTCTCGATGAAAGATACTAATATGATAAATGCATTAATAAGTACTAGAATACCTATTGAAACCATATAAAGTATAGAGATATATCTCTATCCTGTATCGAACCTTACAATATTTATTATATTGTGCTTAAATCATATTATCTCTCTTGATAACAATAAAATCTACTAACAATTCAAATGGTGATCAAGCAATTGAAAAGAACGATAAAAACGATAATAAACATCCACAAATCAAATCAAATTATAGTCAAAATAATTAATTAAAAACTAAAAATATCATAACAATGGTTTATCTCATCCTAACAATGTATAAAATTAGCCCGACATATTGAAATTATAAGAAATCATATTTAAGTGAAAAGATATCACCGAATTTTTGATAAATTGGGAAGATGAATCTTAAAATTTTGAATCTCTTCTATGGTTTCTTGATGAATCTCCACTTGAGCCTTTTCTTCTTTGCCCAAAAAACAAGATTGAATCTTCAATTGATTGAATTCTTGCAAGTCTCGTTCAATTCTCTCACAAAAACAATGAATTCTCCTACTTTGATGATAATAATTGATAAGTAATCGAGTGTGAGATGTATATGAGAGGTCCTCCATACATATTCTACTGTTAAGTATTTGTAGGAGTCGAAAATCATGTCCAAATTGTCTTTCAAAAGAGTTAAAATTGAAAAGGAAAGTTATCTTCGCGAACGGATTTTTTTTGTCTCTGCATAGCAGTCAGTATTTTGACCATAACTTGCTCTCCCGATATCCGTTTGAAACAATTCAAATAAGTTGGAAAGCCAACTCAAAGGGCTAAAACTTTCTACAAATATATTTTCACAATTCCGACGTTTACGATGCTAATTATGGGTCTCAATCATCGACTAAAAATCTGAAATATAACTTGTGTGATTGGAAATTGATTTTAATCATAATTCATTCCCTTTTGAGTTCTAATTTCATCTAATTGTTTCCTAAAAATTTTCAAAGTATCATCTTGTGATCCGAATCAACTACTGAATTTACAATTTGGTCCTCAAATTTTGAATTTTGCCCCCCCCTTTTTTTTTTTTTTACCAATTTTGGTTTCTTTCTTTCCATTCTTTGTTCAACCATTGAGTTTTACCTATATAAAATAAAATACAACAATTTAGGATATATTTTGTCAGAAGAACTATCAAATATCGCTATTTTAGAACATGAACAAGTGTATAAAATACATTTATCACGTCTCATAATGAATATGTATATTAAAAAAATTCACATGTTACCAAATTAATTATGATACACGCGATAGATGATTAAACTTAAAAAAATTACTACCTTCACTAGATTTTAAAGAATTAAGTTTTCATACTAATAACATATTATAAAAAGCGATAAAACAAAAGAGAATAGAGAGAAGTTAGTAGACTTTTGTGTTTTATTAAAAACTTAAATAAAATAATTATGGTTATAAGGGATACAATAGTCACAATGACTAGGGCTGCAGGGGTGTAAAATAATTCATAAATACTACTATATTTACAATAGTATCACAACATTTTCAAAAAAATAAAGTGTTTATTTAATTTATAGTGATTGAATCATTAACAAACTATGTGAATTGCTCGATCAAAGTGTGCTGCGTGCAAAGACTAATAATTAACAAGAATAATGTTACTTTATCAAAAAGTAGGTGACATAATAAGTGTTGTCAAGATGTGATAGGATGAAAAAGCCGAATGTATTTTAGACAATCCAATGATAAGTTTTCATGTGCCATTATGTCAATCATTACGTCTGTATAGCATGATTGTAATTAACAAAATAAATTATATGCAGTAACTATGACCTAAACTACTAATTTATGAAAGTTAATTGTTCCAATGGTCACTGAATCTATCTCTATGTCTTCGATTGCTCACTAAAGTTTAAGATGTCGAGTTTTGGCCACTAAATTTTGAAAAACGCTGAACATTACACATGGCTAACTTCAATTTCAAATAAATAACAGAATTGGTGATGTGGTTGAAAAAATGCACATGGGCCACCCCGTCACGCTGTTAAACTTTGATGTGGTCGAATTTTAGCTACTAAATTTTGAAAAACGTTGTCAATTGCTCACCAAAATTTGAAAAATGTCTTCTAGTACTCACTGAATTGTGAGGTGGACGAATTTTGGCTATTGAACTTTGAGATAGTTGAATTTTGGCCGCTAAAATTTGAGATGATTGAGTTTTGCCACAAAATTTTGAAAAACGTCTTTTGTGGCTCACAATAAATTTAGATTTAATTAAAAATTGTTGTTAAAATTTCGATTTAGTTTTATTTAACAATAAATTCATTGTGTGTTTTGTTGTAAATTCAAATATTATGGTTAAAATAGCTTAAAATTCTACAAAAATAAGTTAAAATTAAATTTAACTACTGTGTAATCGAGTAATCATTCCTAATGGTATAGACAATGCTTGCAAAGTTGGGCAAAGGAAGTGTCTACTAATTGCAATGAAACACAATATATTTATTGTTAAAATGAAATTAAATCCGAATTTTGACAACGAATTTTGACCCCAGTTTGATAGACATTATTTAAGAAAAAGAAGTTTTAAATAGTGATTTTTTGGAGAATGCGTAGTTAAAAAGTTGGCAAAATTTTTGAGTTTACTCGTAAAACATTTATTGTATAAATGCAAGGTTAAAAATAAGTATGAGAATTAAATAGTTTTGTTTTAAAGGAAGATAAACAGAATTAATTAAATTCAAATTTATAATGAGCAGTAGAAGACATTTTTCAAAGTTTAGTGGCTAACATTCGACTATCTCAAAGTTTAGTGACCCATATTTCATCATCTCAAAGTTCAGTGAACAACAGAAGACTTTTTTATAGTTTAGTGGCCAAAATTCGACCATTTCAAAGTTTAACGGTGTGATGGGGTGCCACACGTGTATTCCGTTAGTTGCATCACTAATTCCGTTAGAGGTTTGAAACAAAAGTTATGCCTTGAGTAACTTACAACATTTTTCAAAATTTAATAATTAAAACTCAACATTTTAAACTTTTTGTGAATAATCAAAGACATAGATGTAAGTCCAGAGTTAATCTACTCTGACAGGGATCAGAATTTGGTGACAACGATGAAGTGGCAAGTTGTGATTCACCTTTTTTTTTTTTTTTTAAATCCATCTTCTAATGATTTGGTGACAAGTGTTGTTTGTCACCAAACCCTGTCAAATATCTCTGTCACAGTAGCATGGTTCGTGAGGTCGTGACCATTGAAACAATTAACTCAATTTATGAAAACTTGAACAAATCTTAACAAAACTATGATTGTCAGAGATTCTCGTAAACTCCAGTAAGAAATGGGAATGGATAAGCACAAATTTGGAAAGGACAAATTGGAATTGATAATCATCTCCCAATCTCTAATAAATATATTTTGCCCTTCGTTTGAAATTTTGCCAAAAATAGAGTCAAAATCAACATTTCATGAACTCAACAGGGGCTTGAATATAACTATTTTGACTCTGGTTGAAATTTGAAAGAAGAGGAAATTCTCTGCGTGAAGGATTCTGCTTCTTACTTTTACGATACGTGTGAAGTATGATAGGCGAAACATACAAAAACTTTTAAGGATTCTGCTTCTTAATTTGATGTGTTGTTTTTTTACATAAAAATAAAGGGGCGTCGAAAATTTGCTGTTTCTGGTAACTGGATTGTGCTATGAGGGCAATTAACGTAGCAATCGCCGATGCGATAGTGACGTGCTTGTGGTTTTTTTGTCCATCGTTGTTGGATGTACTTACTTTCGTTGTGGCTTCTGCTCTTGGGGTTAGCCAAGGCCTGCCTACGCATCTTGTTAGTTTTTTTGTTTGTATTCGGATTTATTGGCATGTATTGGGAGGCGCCACCTTCAATCCCACCGGTCATGCCTCCTTTTATGCCTCCGGCGTCGGAGGTGCTGAGTCTCTTGTCACCGCCGCCGTTCGCTTTCCTGCTCAGTTAACCTCTTCTTGTACGATTTTCATGTTTCGTTAGGGGTCTATGTTATTGTTTTGCAAGAGTATGAGACGGGAAAAAATTCAGTCGTTTTGCCATAGCCATAAGCTCATACCTCAATACTTCAATGCTGAATCATTTGGATTCCATTGGTAATGGGACATGGAATATCAGATATTGAAGAGAGATTCAACAACTACAAGATCGATTTTTGGAGATCATTCCTATCTTGAAAGGGAAGGAACTGATACCAATTCCCATAATTCCTTTCTAGATATTCCTTTGCTTACCGGCTACTCACAAAATGTGAAAAGAAGGTCGAACTGGGTTTAAATCCTCGACATCAAGCCGAGGGACTTTTGATCCTTGCAAGATGATTCTTGGAAATTGTGTGCTCGTTTATTTTGTAAATGACAAAGATTAGTAGATCATCTAGGACAGTGGCGTATCCAGAAAAAAATGTTGAGTTAGGGAGGCCGTTGACCGCATTGACCATTGTCGACAGTCAACAATCACAATAACAAGATCGTTTATATATTTTGATTTAGAAACTAATTCTGAACACCAATTTGAATCCACAAAATGTAGCTCAAACATGATACTTAAAGGAATAGAGGAGAGATGTGTTCGTATTTTCATTCACATTATGCACAAGCTGCATTTCCTTTTTCTTTTCTCCAGTTCTTTTTACCACAATTGGATTTTTTTAGTCCATTAACATTCATACAAAAAGTACTATCTTGCCACATTTACAATAAGAAAATTTTAAACTTTACCTGATTCTTGCGTATCTTCCGCTTGAAATGCGCCGCTATCCATATGGTCCCCAACGATCCCCTTTTTCCCTTCTTCTTCAACTGTAATTCCTACATACATTTAAAAAAAAACCCAAAATGCAGAAAACCCAATAACTATATAAGTTGAAAACCCAAATGGTTATCAATTCAATCAGGACCCAAGTGTCTTACGACACAAACCCAGCTGGAGCTGAAAGTCGTGCAGCAATCAAACATGCCAGCACCTGATAGCCAGCTGGAAGAATCAATTAGTTAGCTAACTAATTGTTAGTTTGATAGTTGAGAATTATTCCTTTCTTCTGTTAGTGAGGTTATTAGTTAGGGAGTTTGTTAGTTCACA